CCTCTCCTCTCCTCTCCTCTCCTCTCCTCTCCTCTCCTCTCCTCTCCTCTCCTCTCCTCTCCTCTCCTCTCCTCTTTTCTCCTCTCCTCTCCTCTCACTGGACTTGTCAGCTTCTATCGATCACGTCCTGTGGACTAACAAGTTCGAGTCGTTTTGGAAGGAAATCTTTAGACAAATTCAGGTTCACCTGCTCCTGCTCTTGCTCCTGCTCTTGCTCCTGCTGTTGCTGTTGCTGGTTCACCTCCTCTACCTTCACTTTCTCCTCTTCCTCTTCCTCCTCCTCCTTTCAGCTCCCAACTTGTCTGTTCCGCACCTACACTTGTCATCATCATCTAAGTCGTTTCCATTCATCTTCATTCTTTTTGCTCCTTCTCAACATTCTCTCAGGTCATGAAGAAGAAAATCTCAAACCTGTCCAAGGAGATCGAAAGAAGCGCTCCCTCCCGGTCTCCTGCTCCCCTCCCTTGCTCTTCCTTCTCCGTATCATATCCCTTGCTGGTGGTGGTGGTGGTGGTGGTGGTGGTGTTGCTGGTGCTGTCAAGTATCTTCTGCACTTCTTTTTCTTGTATTTTTGCTCTTTCTTCTCTACTCTTCAACTTGTAATCTCATGATTTACAAGCAGACAAGTGTACTTCATTCCTGAAAGTCCTCAAACCTCAGAGGTCCTCCTTCTCCCTCCATCTTCTCCTTCCTCTCGTTTCACTTCTCCTTTCCCCGATTTCTTTCCTTTCTTCTCCTTTCTTCTCCTTTCTTCTTCCCCCCCTCCTCCCTCCTCCCTTCCTTCACCGCTCCTCTCCTCCTCTCCTCACCGTCTCCTCCTCACCCTCCTCCAGATGGTCAACCTCATTCTCCAGCTGGTCCAAGACGCAAAGAAGATCCTCTCGCGAGAGGCTCGTTCCCTCCTCCAGTACTACAACCGAGCAGAGAAGCTTGATCCTTCTGCTCCTCCCACTTCTACAGGTACCTCCATCCCCTGCCTCCTTCCCCCTCCCCTACTCCATCCTTCTTCTCCCTACCTCCCACTCTCTCCTCTGCTCCTTCTTCTCCCTACCTCCCACTCTACTCTGCTCCTTCTTCTCCCTACCTCCCTCCCTGTTTCTGACTTCTCTCCTCCTCTTTTCCATTTCTCCTCACCGCTCTGCTCTGATCTGCTCGCCTCCTCCTCCCCCTCCTCTGCTTCTTACGCTGCTCAAGTCTCGCTGAGACCTGCGCCGCCTCCTCCTCAAGCTTCGCATCTCATCGAGCTCGTCGAGCTCGAGCTCGAGCCCAACTGGGAGAGCTGTGCAGACAAGAACGTCTCCTGCTCCATCCTTGCCGCTGACGTCGCCGCTTGTCTCGGCATCCCTCGCCAAACGGTTCTCTTCTACCCTGCAGCTGCAGCTGCTGCAGCTGCAGCTGCAGCTGCTGCTCTTCTTGTTCTCATGCCTCTCTTCCTGTTTCCGCCTGCTCTATCGCTCTTCCTCTCCATGTGCCGAACGCTGAGCTTGAGGAGCAGGTTCACGCAGGAGGCGTTGACAGCAGGACGAATAGATGTCTCCTCGTCCTCACCTCCTTCCTGGTGCCTTTGATCTGCCGTCCTCCCCTCCACCTTCCCGTCTTGTTCTTGCCATGCTCTAGCCAGACTGCCTGACAGGAGATTTTCATCAGGACATGACGGCTGCACAAATCTTTTCTCTTATGGCGACCATGGTCTTTCCTGCATTACTTCCTCCTCCCTCATCCTCGCTCTCCTCGCTCCTCTTCTCTCTCTCTTTCTCAGACAGAGCGAACGTCTGACCTTGCAGCAGGTGGCGGACGAGAAGAGCTCTCTCCGAACGCAGACTTGCGTCCGCGCTGTCTCCCGCGTCACCTCCCTACTCAAAGACGTCAAGTCACTTGCTCCTAATCGCGCTCGGCTCGTCTCCTCCCTAGCCAGCATGAAGGCTCTACATGCATCCGCTCCTGTCTCAGGTGATCTCCTAAGTTGCCTGCTTCTCCTTGCTATTACTCCTCCCTCCGCCCTCCTCCCTCCGCCCTCCGCCCTCCCTCCAGTCTGTACAGCATTTTAGCTTTTGCTCTTCACCTCCTCTCCTCTCTCAGAGTTCCTCCCTCCATCCTCTTTCCTTCACCCTTCCCTTCCACTTTCTTCTTCCTCACACTTACAACTTCATCTTGTCAGATAACTCAACTCAGCTCACGGATCTTTCCTTTCACATGCTTGAAGCAAGATGCGAAACTCTCAGTACAGTAAGTGCAACTGCTGCTGCTGCTCCTCCTCCTCCTCCTCCTCCTCCTTCTCTTTCTCCTTCTCCTTCTCCTCCTCGTCCCTCCAGCCCCTCCTCTCTCTCCACTACTCCCTCCCCTTCTCATGAGCACTTCCTCCGTCTCTCTCGTTCTTCTCGTTTCGTATTGTGCTGTTTACTTTGTCTCCTCTCTCCTCTCCGCCTTGCCTTCCTCCCTCAACGCCCCCCCACCACCTTCCCCCCGTTCGTCCTCCCTCCCTTCCCCCCTCCCCCCCTGGTTGTCCTCCCCTCCCCCCCCCCCCCTCCCCCTCGCTCTCTTCTCACCATGGTGGCTCAGGTTCTGCACGAGCTCGTCAAGGTGCTTGTTCAAAAGATGCGCAAGGACGTGAGGAAGTCGACAGTCAGGTCAGAGGAAGCGAGCAAGAGGAAACTGGTGGAGATGGAGGAGGATGAAGACGATGATGTGGACGAGGACGAGGACGAGGTCGAGGTCGAGGTCGAGGAAGGGATGACAAGAAGAAGAGAGGCAAAGGGGAGGAGGAGGAGCATTTCTTCTCGTCTTTGTCCTTACCTCGTATCAGAATGTCAGGGTTGTCAAACAGCAGCTCGCTCCCAGCTGTAATCAGTCTCCTCCTGTCCCCCGGGGCCTGACAGCTTGACAGGCTTGCTACAGCCAGTCCAGCAGCGGCAGGTCTTCTCCTTCCAGTGGCCTCTTCTGGGAGAGCTTGCAGGTCCTCTCCCTCTCCCTCTCCCTCTCCCTCTCCCTCTCCCTCTCCCCTTCTCTCGCCTCTCCTCTCCTCTCTCTCTGCTCCTTCAAGGGTTTCTCGCCTCTCCTCTCGTCGTCTCTGATTTCACTCACCCACTTCTAGAACGTCGCCTTTGAGGAGAGGATAGCTGCTGTCCGAGACGCGTCAGTCCTCCCAGCCTTTCCCTCCGTCCTCACCCTCATTCCTCCTTGTTCCTCCTCCTCCTCCTCCACTACCAACACTTCCACCTCCTCAACTTTCACTCCTATTTCCGCTCTTTCCCGCCATCACCCTGCCTTCCAATATGTCCTCGTCCTCGTCCTCGTCCTCGTCCTCGTCCTCGTCCTCGTCCTCGTCCTCGTCCTCGTCCTCGTCCTCGTCTTCTTAACCCAGCCTCCTCCTCATATCGTCCTTTCCTCCTTGTCTAAGCTCCTCAGCAGTTTTCTCAACGAGGAGCATCTCCTCTATCACGTCGGCAACCCCTACGAGATTAGGAGCACATCATCCGTTCCAGGTCGAAGAGCACCTTGCAATCCCAACCTCTTGCTTCCTCTCCTCTGCTCTCCTCTCTGCTCGCTGCTCTCCTATCTCCTCTGCTCTCCTCTGCTCTCCGCCCCTTACCTCTCGCCTCTCCTAGAATGCATCATCTTGACAGTTACTAACCCGCCACGCTCTTCCCTCCTCTTGTTCTGTTGCTGCGTATCTTCTCCTCTCTCCCCACAGACAGTGAATTCTCCGCCGTAATCAACCACGAAGCTCTTGCGATGAGAGAGTGAGAGCATTGACAACTGTCTACTCCACCGCATTCCTCCTTTCTTCTCTTCTCTTCTCTTCTCTTCTCTTCTCCTCTCTCCTCTCCTCTCCTCTCCTCTCCTCTCCTCTCCTCTCCTCTTCTCTGCTCTTCTCTGCTCTTCTCTTCTCTTCTTGCTCTCCTACCACAGTTTTCTTGCTCCTCTCCTCTCCTCTCCTCTCCTCTCCTCTCCTCTCCTCTCCCTTCACGATCTCAGTCACAGGATGAACTTCGGCGGACGGCGGCAACATGTCGACGACGGCGTCATGTATGTTGGAGGTACGTTTCCTCCTCTTCCACGCCCTTCACTGAAATCTTCGGCAGGAGCAGACGGGGTGAGCAGGAGCGACTCGAGCATTCTGTCGCTGACGATGTTACAGCAAGGAGCTGTGCGGGCAGACTTCATCCAATCAGCTCGCAAAACTCTTGACGTCGTTCCACAGCTGCAGTTGTAGGCAAGGAGGACAGAGAAGAGAAGAGAAGAGAGGAGAGGAGAGGAGAAGGGAGGAGGAGGAGCGGGACTGGAGAAGGGAGACAGGAGATGCGCACGTTTAAATATTCTGCCACAAGGAAAGGAAGTATCATAAGACTATATAAATACACAGATCGCCATCTTAGAGCAGCCCGAGTGACCTTTGTCGCTCCTGCACGCCAAGGGATGCCATCATGGCAGCGACGGTGATGCCCTGGGCGATAACACGAGCACGCATGAAGGTCTGCGATGTCGCCTTGTCTCCGCTGTTGAAGGAGACGAGGCCTGATCCGAGGATGATCGCAGTGGTGAAGACACCTGCAAGCTCTTAAGCTGACGAGCAAGGGGAGGGCTGCTGGACTCACCGAGGGGGATGATGGGCGAATCTTTGCCGAAGTACTTGAACATGAAGGCGTCGAGCTCAGAGACCTGAACGCCTTCCTTTGCACTGGGCACGACAGGCTTCACTTGAGGCGTGCGCTCCTTCTTGCCTTGGACGGCCATGGCAGCAGAGCGGAGGGAGCTTGCGAAGTTCATAGTTTGTTGGGGGTGGGGTGGGGGGGGGGTGGGGGTTGTTTAAATCAGAAGGAAAAGCTTGTAGGCCTGTCCGCAGATGATCAAAACCAGCAACGATCGAGCCCAAGTTCTTGAACATCAACACGAAAAAGACAAGCACACGCAAACAAGGTTCTCTCTCAACAACTTTCGCCTACACCCTTGGCTTTCAAGCAACTCAGTCAAATTGCAACAAGGGGGCTCCGACTATCCTAATCCTTTACACGTCACACATGCTCCCGTTGACGTCTTTGACGCTCATCTCCCTCAAAAGCGAGCATAACAGGCATGAGACACGAATTTGCTGCTCTCTACGTCATATTCACTTCCATCATCCGACCTTGCTACCTCTACGCCTCCTCCCTCCTTCCTGCGCGCCCACTTATCACAGACTCCCACACACCACGCTTGCAACAGCACGCCCAGTTGCAGCTTCAGCATATCTGCTGTCTGCGTCCTTCAACTCTCTCGCTCCTCTGTCCTCTCTCCCCTCCCCTGGACGCCATGTTCCGCTCTCTGTTTGCATGCCGGCCTACCAGTCTTGTGGCGGATCCTGAACCCCGGGGTTTAAATAGAGGGTGGGTACAGGGGGGAGGGCACAGGGAAAGGCTTTTCAAAGCAGTGGGGTGGGGGGTACTTTCAGATGGCTCGATCGGGGGTCTGCTCTACGTGTACCGGGTGATTTTAGGCTAAATTGCAGTATAAATGAGGGGTATAAATAAAAAATGTAAATATGAAGGTGGTAGGGATAGGGACCCTAGTGTGTTTTTGAGAATCAAAGGAGAGCCGTGATCGACTTATCCAGTGGGGGGTGGGGTGTGCGTGGAGGCGGTAGGGGTAGTATAGTCGCATTGAATGCGCCTACAAAGAAGAGGGAGGAGGGGGTAGGGGGTGTTGATGACTTGAGTTGTAGGGGGTGGTAAGTGTGATGTAAATGTGGGGGTGGGGGTGGAGCCCAAGAGCTCCGATGTGACATCGTTTCAAGTTAGCTCGAGGGATACGGGTGACAAAATCTCTCCTTTTCAGATTTCCTGTCAGCTCAGGGCACTGACTTTCGTATTACCTAAGGAGCTCCTAAGGCAAATGCTCGGACCAAAATCGATACCTCAAAATCATACAATCCAAATGTAGGACCTTGAACCTAGTACGTGTCCTAGGATCACCATGATATCAGGATAGAACAGGGTACTAGAAAATCGTAGCTTTCTAGTACCGAACACAACGTGTCAGGCTGACCCAGTGACCATGGTACGGGGCATGAGGGGTGGGGGTGGAGCTGTCGGGGGTTGTGTGTACAGGGGGTGGGTAGGGGTTGAAACACACGTATGAGGCTCCCTAAAGGGTCATAGGAAATGTCATAGACTCATAAGACTTCTCTACATGTGATGTACCACAAGCTGCTGACACTAAAAGTGGGGGGTCCGAAGAGAAAGCAAAGGAGGGGTACTTTTAATGCCATTGTGTTCAAACGACGTGATTTTACACCTTCTCGACATTTCGTGAGGGGTACCCACCCCTACCCCCGGCTTTCCTCAGGCCTTGTGGCCTCCAGTATGTGGCGCATGGGGTCATGGACCTTCTTCACTTAGGTTGATGATTGTCGATGTACCGGTACTTGGCCCTTATTTTACTCTATTTCTGAGGTAGGGTAGATGACGGTACCCTCCAAGTAAGGGGGTAAGAGTTGGGTATCTATGGGGTAGGGGTTACCTTACGACCCCTGGAGCCACACCCCTATATTCCAGCAGAGATCCCAGAGGGTGGAACGACGCCATGCTTGCGCGTGTGTTGAGCAGGTGAGATGGTCGGAATGAGCGAAAAGAGGAGGCAGGATATCAGAGGAGAGGAATAGGAGAGGAGAGGAATAGGATGTCAGAGGATAGGAATAGGAGAGGAGAGACTGAAGGATGGGAGAGAGTGAGGATGGGGGAGAGAGGGAAAGCACTGTGAAGATAGATACAAAGTAGCAGCAATTGTTGGATTGCGCAGAGGATTGAGTAGATGGAGTGTCGAGGTACGGGGCATGCGCAAAAGGATCAGGACGGGATGGCATGAAGACATGAAGTGAGCTGAAAGAACATGTGATATGACTTGTACGTATCGAGATGCTGTGGGATAAGATGAAGACGGCACATAAGAATTAACGGAAAGTGGTTGGAACCAAAAGAGAGTGTCCCGGAAGGCATCAAGTAGACGTCGTTGGCATCGAGGGTTTCAATGACTGAGGAGTAAGTGTCTGGTAGATGGAAAGGGATGGTATTTCAGCATGGAGTGATTGAACTTAACTCTGAGTAAAGGAAACGATTGTAGTCCCAGTCAGGCAGACGTGTCCAAGAATCGTGTCGTGCGTAGATAGCTTCACTGTTAATCGACAGCTCTTCGAGAAGATTGGGAAGGGATACAGAAAGGGAGACCTATGCAGTCATAGCAAGGCAGCATGTTTTTGCATTGAGGACTTAGATGAAGGTGGCCATCTGTTATAAGAGAGAAATTGACTGCATGATCAAAGTGCGTGAAATGGCTGGCATTATAGTGTGTAGCTGCCTTTGATATATCTTCTTGTAGCATCGTCAAAATCACGCTGACTTATTCCTTCTCTGTTCTGTTTTCTCAGATCACCAGCGACTCGAACTCTTCTGCTGACAAGCAGTCAAAAGTTTGCAAAGAGATCAGAAAATGTGAGGAAATTTAGCACGGAGAGCAACCCAACGCAGAAGCTTACCAAGACGTGGGGACAAATGAATGCTCTTGCCAGTCTGTCCATAACGTCTTGAAAGGCTGGCCGGCATTGCGGCGGGAGGTGTGGGCTTAGTTGCCTCGGTCTCAGCGTTCAACTCGTGGAGGGAGTCGAAGAACAAGCCTGTGGAGGTGGGAGTCGGTTGGGATGGGCCACGTGGATCGATTGATCTTGAATAGGCTATCGAGGTGGAGTCGGAAGAAGAAGCTGAAAGGATGAGAAAGGAGCGTCTCAGTATGGGCATCTACGAGGCTTGCCTGGTCTTGCATGTGACTGTCCTTTCGAGCCTGACGTAGTCATAGGGAGCCGTTCAATGGGGAGCTATAAGTAGCGTAGTCGTGTATGGCCTGCGTGCACTCGAGCCGAAGGCAACCGACTGAGTTTGCATTGTGATTGAAGTCTGACATCAGATGCATCAGATGTTGGGGACCGATAGGCTCATCAAGGCTGGCCATCCCAGGATGTTCTTCCTCATTACTGCCAGCATGTGTGCGGGGTTTGCTATCAGGGGTGAATCGAAACTCATCGATGACGGTGATGATCACAACTCATTGTTATATCATCGCATCTGACACACTCTTCCTCAGCGAGAATACCATACCACGTAAAGGGTCAACCCAAATAAGCATCGAATAAACTAAAGCCAAGGCTGGCTGACTGAACGTTTACGGCCCCCGGATGGTCTCACAAACATCTGGGGCCAGGGAGCATCTCCTGCCGCTCTTCCTCCTCCTCCTCCTCCTCCTCTTCCTCCCTCTTCGTCCTGGCTACTCACCCCGGCTGATATCAGCGGCAGCAGCCTTGAGTTGGAGCCTCTGGTTCTCGGCGCGGAGCTGCTGGAGGTAAATCTCAAGCATCTCCGTCTTCCAGTCGTCCTGCTCCTGCTCGCTGGTCGACGCCGTGTAGATGCTCCTCGACCAGGCTCGCTGCATCTTGTCCGTGTCCAAGTTGACTTTCGGGTACAACTGGCCGATGACCCGCACGAGGGCGTCGAAGGAGCAGCGCTTCTGGTTCCAGATGTCATGGCAGGGCTGGTCGGCGAGCGGAGCATCCAAGGTCCTCTCAATGTAGTTCTTCCTCCTCGTCAGCCTCGCAATCTCTGCTTCGATCTCCGTCATCTCCTTCCGCAGCTCCACCTCGTTGATCTCCGGGTCAGGGATGTGACCGTCCAGCGCCTGGACGAGACTTCGGTCAGCCCGAGAGCGGCTGAGAAGGAGTAGGAGCAGGGAGCAGGGAGCAGGGAGCAGGGAGCAGGGAGCAGGGAGCAGGGAGCAGGGAGCAGGGAGTAAGGAGGGAAGATCAAAGGAAGGGAGGAGGAGACTTGACCTCTAAAGCATGGAGCAGCATGGTGTTGCTGTATGTGCTCCCCGCGAACAGGCTGTGGCTGATGTCCTGAACCGCCTTGACAACATCCTCATGCACAGCGTCGGGGGCATCTTTCCCGAGCCTCTCTGCCTGTTAGCAAGACACAAGTCAACATGAGAATGAGGCGAGGGAGAGGGAGAGGACAGCAGGCAGGAGGAGGCGAGCGGGCTTGAGGTCGTGCAGCCACTTACAGTCTTCTTGCCTTCCTCCTTGGCAGCAGCGTAACCGTCCATGAGGATGGCAACGAACACGTTCATGAGGACCATGCCCGTGAGAAACATCCAGGAGATGAAGAAGACGTTTGCCATGATGGGATTGATGTAGCCCAAGTTGAAGTTGCCGATGGTTGGGCCCAGGTCAAAGGCCCCGAAGAGAGACTCCCACATCACCTGCACAGCCTCAGCTGGCGAAGACGAGAGCACGGGCGACAGACAGTTGAAAAAGAGGACGAGGCAGAAGAAGGAGGGGAGAAGGGTGGGAGGGGGACAGAAAAGCATGCGACATCGTAGAAAGAAGAGTTGAAGGGAGGGAGTGAGGGAACCAGAGATGGGAGAGGTGAGAAGGAAGAGACGTCTTGGCAAGACAGGACGGAAGACCTGAATAGAGTTGGGGACAGTGGCGAAGTCTCTGCTCTGATTGCCGAAGTTGAGATGTCCGATGGCAGCATACCCGACCAGCATGACCCCGAAGATGAGGCAGAAGTGATAGAGATGCACCATGGAGGCACTGAGAGTCTTGTTGACGATCTGCAGGCGGGGCTGAAACTCGTAATACTTGAAGAACCTCAGGGTGCCAATGAGGATGGAAATGAAGTTTACGGAGAGCTGATCGCGGTTGGTGCGGTAGAGCTGCTCGAAGATGGGGTCGTAGTCGTTGGTGGGGACGCGGACTGGATGGCAGATGATGTTCTTCATGTACCCGATGCGGATGACGATGAACATGAGGTAGCACGTGTAGTTGACCAGGTCCAGACAGGCCCACTGCGAGCAAGGATGAGACGGGGCAGGGAGAATAGGGGATGGCGATCAGAGCGATCACGGTCACTTACCATGTTGAAGAATTTGTGGAGGCGACGAAGATAGATGGCAGTCAGGAAGTTGCGGATGTAGGAAGAGATCAAGAAGAAGACCCAGACCATGAAGGCGATCTCGAAGCCCAGGAGAATGAAGTCCTTCTGCGTCAGGTAGGGCTCCATGTTGATGGAGCCGATGCTTACCGTCGTCCCTCCAGGGAGATTCCGCTGCACTGAAGTGGCGGACGGGTCGGACGTGATGTACCTGGTTGCCGAAGGTTTCAAGCAAGCAGAGGGGAAGATGAAGGGAGAAGGAGTCAAGAAGAATCATCCAAGGTAGCGATCGACAAACAGAACGAAGAAGGAGACAACAAGGACTGGCAAGACAAGGAAGAGAAGACAGTAGCGGAGGAGGCGGAGAGGACTTACGTTCCGAAGTGAGAGAACTGAAGAGACACCTTGGCGAAGGTGAACATGCCAAAGTTTCCATTGTAGAAGGTGAACTTAAGGTCGATGTGGCGGGTCTTGGAGTCCAACCATCTTAGCTCCTGCAGCTGCTGGATCTGCTGCAGGTTTGCCTTGATGCCGTCGGCGAGTGACAGCCACGCTCGATATCCCTGGTCCTTGTAGCTGTACTGGAACGAGTTGACAACGTTGGAGTACTCTGTCTGGTTCAGCTTCTCTCGATCTCCGAACTTGGAGTTCTCAAGGTCCACGAGGTACTGCTGGTAGTCAGGCGAGCTCTCGTCGATCTCCATGATCGGCTGGCTGCTCCCACAGACGTCCTTGGTGCCGTTGACTCGCAGGGGAGGGTCGGCAGTGACGTACTTGACGTTGCTGTAGCATGTGGGGTAGAACAAGGAGTACATGGAGTACTCGCAAGGCTCCAGCTCTCCTCTCTTCTGAATGATGAGCACCCCCCCGATGAGCTTGTTGTAGTTGTAGATCATCCCCATCTCATCGGTCGTGAAAGGATCGCCGTTGTACCAAGTCCCTCCCAGGATGCTGTTGATGAGACCCCCGTCTGGTTCGGTGCCGTCTGTGAAGCTCTGTTGCTTGTTGTCGTAAGACTTGAGGAGATAGTCGAAAAAGTCTCCCTGCATCTGAACGGAAGAGAGCGCTTCGTCCTGGGAGCAGCTCAAGTGAGAGGCAGCAAGACTTCACCCAACATGGCTGTCAACGCACCTGCTGCAAGAGACCGTTTCTGATCGCATCGTCGATCAAGTTTGCGACCTCCACGTCGGATTGAAAGACTACCAACATGACGAAAAGAACAAAGAAAAGCGCGTAGAAGAATAGCTCCGTGTATCCATTCATTACACCGGGCCTGCATACAAGGTTGGTATCTCAGAGGATTCATACCCACAGAGTTGCTCTCGTTACCATCGTCGCAGATGAAATATTGTCTGTTTGATATTGATCTCGCTGTCTTGGAAGTGATCTGCAAGACAATCGTAAAGATCTGAGGATAAACTGATCGTGTGTTTTCTCACAGATGTTATGAACATTTGCCCCCTTACGAGCTTTCCTTTGCTTCTTCATTTTGCCGAATAGAATGGCCTGGATCGTTCCCAACTTAGGCATCTTGACTCCCGGTCCTGACAAGACCGTGACCCCAGACTTTATCGAAAGGATCCACAGAAACCTCACAAGTTTCAAAGCGCGGAAGCAATCAAGAGAATAAGATGGCTCTTATTCCTTGAGAAAGTGAAGGACACCTCGTCAATATAACGGAAAGCAGCTTGTTTTCAACCCTGAGATGTATTCAGACAAGCCATATACATCAAGGTTTGTCATGCAACTGTGCTGTCAGGCCCTCTTCTCTTTCCTCTATCTCTCTTTCCCATGCCTCTCTTCTCCTCTCTTCTTCTGCCGAGTTCTTCTCTGTTTCCTCTCCTGACTTCCTCTGCTTCCCTCCCACTCTCCCTCTCCTCCTACCTCTCTCCTCTCTGCTCTCGCTCTCGCTCTTGCTCTCGCCCTCGCCCTCGCCCTCGCTCTCTCTCTCGCCCTCGCTCTCTCTCTCGCGCGCGCGCGCTCTCTCTCTCTCTCCCTCCCTCCCTCCCTCCTTCTCTCGCCCTCGCTCTCGCTCTCGCTCCGAGTCGCTCTCCCCCTCCCTCTCTCCTCTCTGCTCTCGCTCTCTTCGCTCTTGTCCATCACAAGTAAAAGTCACATGAAGTTTTGTTCCTCTCGTCAAAGTGACCCCGACAGGACCAACACTACCCCCACCCCCTCATCCCTCAGTCCAGCGGCCCTCAAATACCCGGTACCTGTCTGAAAGTCCTCTACCCGGGTACTCGTGCCAGTTCAACGGTTGTAGTGGCCCGAGCCGGGCCCGGCCGGAACTTCGGACAAACATGGTCCAGGCCCGACCCGGGCCCCGGCCCTTCTAAGAGAGAGACTGAAGTGAGAGCTGCCCAAAGCATTTGCTAAACATACCTGTAGGATTGATTTGCTGCCTCCAATTGCGGCCCATGGCGAGGGAGAACGGATGCGCATATGAGAGCGAGCGAGGAAGAGCGAGGAAGAGCGAGAGAGCGAGAGAGCGAGAGAGAGCGAGGAAGCAATGCAGGAGACAGTTCTTGATAGTCCTATGAGAAATGTAAACATTTAGAGGAGGGCATGCATGCATGGTGGGTCTTTTCCGTCTCAAGGAATAACTGAGGGGAGGCAGGCAGGATCTCCTTGCAGCGGAGCATCTCATTGAAAAGTGGCCGTCAACAGCACAGACCTCACTAGCCGAGGACGATGCGAGAGAGGATGGAAAGAGGGACGAGCTGAGCCAGACTTGGATACATGCTCGTTCCTCCTGATGCTCTCATGATTGTTCTCGTCAATGCGCAAAGCTCCGACACCTAACGCCTTCACTCCGGCAAGAGGACATGCGAATGGTGAGCAACTTCCTCGTTGTGTGTCCTCTTCGATCCGTTGCTTGTGTCTGCTGCTGTTCCCTTCTCCTCCTTCGTTGGTATATCGTCATACTGCCAGACCTTCTCATACCCTGCTCTGTGATTTGCTGCCTGATCTTTGCTGTTGTTGTACTCTTTTGTCACATGCAAATGGCAGAGAGCTTCAAGTATCTTCTTCCTTCTCTCAATCCTGCGAGAGGTCAGAGCAAACCTCGTGAGGAACCTCCCTCTGACTTAGCTGCTCCTGTCAGGTCACGACATATGCTGGAGTCTCCCATGGTCTGCAGGAAAACCTCTACTTGCTGCGGTCACCCGTCAGCGGGAGGCCGCGAGCTTCGGCCCTCTGCTTGCAAATCCGCGGCGGGATGAATGACAACTCACCCAACGACGACAAGCATTCAGAGAGGGGAGGGAAAACCAAGTCGGGAATACAAGAAATGTCGCACGAGGAACTGATGAAGATACAGCTCATTTCAAGGGTTCCTCAGATGAAACTCGACGAGCTCAAAGTGATGTACTTGGCGTGACAGACTTTGTGTGCTGATCCGTTCGCAGGAAGAGCTGAAGAGACGAGGGCTGGAGATCAAAGGAAAGAAACAGGACCTTGTGGACAGACTGAAGGAGGCGATCAGCAATGACGTAGCCGTACAGGTGAGACTGCAAGGTCTGATCTGTTTGCTCATCACCTGGAAGGTACCGGTGAAAGTCAGCAGGGAAACTTTGGACAAGAGCTCTGCGGGCCGCAGGATAGCGGGAGAGAGCATGAGGGCTCCCAGGAGCCAGGCGGAGGCAGCGGCAGACCCTATGGAAGAGAGGAGGATGGAAGCACGAGTAGCGGATCTTAGAGAGGACGTCTACCTCCCCTCCTCCCCTCCCCCGCCCGAAGTCTACTTGCAGGAACAGAGAGACTTCCGGGAGAACCTCCGCAGACAAGCCATGGCGAGCCCGAGAGCCGAGTTCCAGCCCAGAAGCGAACACCTCTTGCGCCCCAGTGACGCCGACATGCTCAGGCAAGCTGCCGACCGTCAGGACGGTTGGGTTTCTGTTCGCGACCTCGAGACAAAGCGGCAGGAGCAGGAAGCGAACCTGCCGCCGCAGCCTTTCGACCGGCAAGAGTCCCATGGGTTCGGTACGCAGGCGCAGGGCCGACGGTGGGGGCCGGGGGAGGGCGGGCAGCAAGGCTACAAGGGTGCTCTGAGATGCTCCTTCTGCAATAAAGTAGGACACTCTGCTGCCCAGTGCTACTTCCGCAAGAACAGCTTCAGCCGAGACTCGAGCGAAAGGTCCTACTATCGTCATTCCAACTTTCAGGGTGCTTTTGGGAACAAGAAGAACGAGGAGGAGGTGGCGTCGTCATCCTCCCCAGTCCCCATCCTGACCTTTCCTCCCCTGCAGTCTTCGACAATCCCGGAGTACGATGATCTGTCAGAAGAGAGCACGCCCTCGTCGCAAGGAGGGTGAATGCTCTTGCCTCCCGCTGATGCTTTCGCCTGCTGCTCCAATGATTCACCTCGCTTTTGCATCCCTCCTCTTTTATCTTGCTTTCTCTCCCTCCCTCCCGACCTCCCTCCCTTCTTCTCTTCCTCCCTTCCTCCCGCCCTCCTCTCCTTCCCTTCCTCCCTACCTCTCTGCCTTCCCTCCCTCCTTCCCTCCCCTCCCCTCCCACCCTTGCCTTGCCTTGCCTCTCTACCTACCTACCTACCTACCTACCTCCTTCACATCCACGTCGGGCGGTTGAGACGTTACAGGTACCATGGCTTCGAGGAGGCATTGGACGACTCGATTCCGGAGCTCATCGATCTTGTTGACGACACGAAGATTGAGCGGCAGAAAGTCAGCGAGGCGATGAAATGTCCTCATGGGTTGTATAAGGTCTTTGACGTTTGACACCGCGTCTACCTGAACGCTGCCGATAGACCAATACAATCAATTACAGCAAACGAAGAGCAGACAGGGAGAGAGCGGCAGGTGAGGGGAGGAGAGGAGGTGCTGAGAAGACGAGAGCACGTCGTGACTCGGGGATGAACACAAGGGTTGTTGAAGATCACTGAGGAGATGAAGGCTTTTTTTCCTGGCGCGAGAGACAACTGCGGTGACCGAGTTCCAGCCTGATCCGTCTGATCCTTTGATTGACGGAGTTGGCACAGGGACTCTACTCCAACCGGATGTCTACACCGATGAGGAGTTGTACTCGGTCGGATACACCAAGGAGAAGATCGAGACGCTCCGACGACCTCCATCAGGTGCCCTGCCCTCGAACCTGAGCTTGTCTCATCGCATTCAGAGCGACATGTTCCGTACTTCGAAGAGCTGCTTGCTCCCGTGGAGTCTGCTCGGTCAGGGGAGGCGCAGGGGAAAGAGGGAACAAGGCAAGAGCTGGAGGAGGAAGCGGGTTGTGAAGGGCCAGTGGAACGAGACACCTTCATAGCTGCCATTGGAGGCTCCATCACATTCCGGTGATGATCGTGACTGAAAGGATTCAACTCTGACCTTGGGTGTGTTCGCTCGTGTAAGCTTTGATCCCTCGTCTTCCTATCAACAAGCCAACCATCTGTGTCAGTATGTCGAGACCAGCAGATTCGAAAAGTTTGTTTTGTTTGAGTGCTTCGAACGGCTGAACGACTCTGATTCAGAGGAAGTCTGTCGCGGTGGAAGTTCAAGGCAGACATGCTTTGCCCTCGAGACGGACTGGTGTGTGCCGCTGCTTCAAGCTTCAAGAGTGACGAGACTTCAGTCCGCTCTCTTCTACAAGGATCGCATCTACACATTCGGGGGGCTGGACGATGTCCTGCCATTGTGTTCAAATTGCTTGTCACTTGCCTTTGTAGGACGCGAACGATCTCGATAACGTTGAGAGCTGCGGCCTTGACTTTCAATGGCGTCAAGAACGGTTTTCAACACCACGACTTGTCAGTCTCCTCCCGTCGGCATCATGAGATTGATTGCTTCTTGTAGACAAGCTTTCATTCCACCGCGCTGCTCAACGACCGCATCTACCTAATCGGAGGACAAGGCTTCGATCTGGAAACAAGGCAGCCGGCGAGTTGGAGCGCATCTGTAGGGGCGGCGGGTGATACCTGCTCCTCCAGGCATGGTGGAACCAAGTCAGCTGCCTGGATCTCACCACAGGGAGATGGACTGAGTGTCCGTCTATGAACAGAAAGGTGCTGTTAGCAGCATGCTCCTGACGTGCATGACGAGCAAGGCAGCGCTGCTACTTCCAGGCAGTGTCTGTGCATGGCAGGATCTACGCCATTGGGGGTTGGAGCACCGAGTCGGAGGTGCTGGACACGAATCTAGTGAGTGACGATGTGAAGGAGGGGAGGAGGGGGTGACGAGGGGCAGGGGATTCCGGGACTGAAGTGGGACTTGCGCCACCATATCACCAACACCGTCGAGTCGTTCGATCCACGGCATCTCCAGCTGCTCTCCCTGTTCAGTCGGTGATGGTGATGCAGAGAAGGGAAGTGGCGAATGGAACCCTCGATGTGTGCTCCGCTACAGGCCGGGGTCAGCAACGTCTCTCAGCTTCAACATCCCAAGAAGGTTCTTTGCTCCCTTCAAGCTCCTCCTTGATCACGTTGGCCCAGGTGCAGGATGGTAGCCGATGCTCGTTCGGGGCAGTCGGAGTTGGGCCGAAAGTCTATGTGGTTGGAGGATACGACGGGTGAGCACGTGGCTGAGCAGACGACCAAACTCAACTCTTGTCAGGAACCACGTAATCGGGTCTGTTGAGTCGTTGGACGTCCGTGCAGGCCGCTGGGTCGAGGAGGCAGGCCGCTCGCTGCTCCTGACAGCAAGTGAGAAATCTGCAGGCGAGCTTGCAGACTCCGAGGATGTGCCTGGCGGTATCAGCGCTCAACTCAAAAGTTAGTCATGCCTTACGCTTGTTTCTCTTGTTTCACCTGCTCGCTCCTGCCTTGCTCTCTTCTACTTCGCCCTCTTCTACTTCGCTCTCTTCTACTTCGCTCTCTTCTACTTTGCTCTCTTCTACTTTGCTCTCTTCTACTTCGCTCTCTTCTACTTCGCTCTCTTCTACTTTGCTCTCTTCTGCGCTCTCTTGAAAACTCTCTACTTCAGTTGATTGCGGCGGGAGGATGGGACGGCACGCGAGACCTCAAGGTGGTTGAGACTTATGACGGGAGCAGGCGAGAGACGCGAGAGATGGAGCTCGAGCCTCGCTGACGTCATCGGCAGGTGGGACGTCGCGCCTTCTCTCCTTGTCCCTCGCTCCAACTTCGCAATTGTGACGTGCGACTCGAGCCTCGATGTGCACGGGGACGTGGACTATGTGAGATGAAACAACCTCGCGCTCTATCAGAAGGACCATCTTCACTTACAGCAGCAGTCGCCTCGTAGCTCCTACTCGCCTCGTAGTTCGTACCCGCCTCGTAGCTCGTACCCGCCTCGTAGCTCGTACTCGCCTCGTAGCTCCTACTCGCCTCGTAGCTCCTACTCGCCTCGTAGCTCCTACTCGCCTCGTAGCTCCTACTCGCCTCGTAGCTCCTACTCGCCTCGTAGTTCGTACTCGCCTCGTAGCTCCTACTCGCCTCGTAGCTCCTACTCGCCTCGTAGCTCCTACTCGCCTCGTAGCTCCTACTCGCCTCGTAGCTCCTACTCGCCTCGTAGCTCCTACTCGCCTCGTAGCTCCTACTCGCCTCGTAGCTCCTACTCGCCTCGTAGCTCCTACTCGCCTCGTAGCTCCTACTCGCCTCGTAGCTCGTACCCGCCTCGTAGCTCCTACTCGCCTCGTAGCTCCTACTCGCCTCGTAGCTCGTACCCGCCTCGTAGCTCGTACTCGCCTCGTAGCTCGTACCCGCCTCGTAGCTCCTACTCGCCTCGTAGCTCCTACTCGCCTCGTAGCTCGTACTCGCCTCGTAGCTCGTACTCGCCTCGTAGCTCGTACTCGCCTCGTAGCTCCTACTCGCCTCGTAGCTCCTACTCGCCTCGTAGCTCGTACTCGCCTCGTAGCTCGTACTCGCCTCGTAGCTCCTACTCGCCTCGTAGCTCGTACTCGCCTCGTAGCTCCTACTCGCCTCGTAGCTCGTACCCGCCTCGTAGCTCGTACTCGCCTCGTAGCTCGTACTCGCCTCGTAGCTCGTACTCGCCTCGTAGCTCCTACTCGCCTCGTAGCTCCTACTCGCCTCGTAGCTCCTACTCGCCTCGTAGCTCCTACTCGCCTCGTAGCTCCTACTCGCCTCGTAGCTCCTACTCGCCTCGTAGCTCGTACTCGCCTCGTAGCTCCTACTCGCCTCCATGTTGCTCCTCTCGCCCTTCACCTCCACGCCCTTCCTCGCTCCTACTCCTGCTGCTATTCTGCTGGGCTGACCACCCCTACCTTAAAACGAAATCACCCTACGTATTGTAGTGTTTTCCTAGCTCTTCAGTACTATTTGATCACCCCTCACCCCCGGATTGGTACTACCCTACCCTGTTCACCAATACTTGAACATGGCAAAGCGTGGTGAACAGAGCCATGCGTGTGAGCAGGTGAGAGGGGGAGGGAGAGAGAGGAGAGGGAGGGATAAGAGAAAGGGAGGAGAGGGAGGGACGAGGACGAGGAGATAGGTTCGACGATGGATGAAGGGGGGGGGGGGGGAAGGAGGCAAGCGGGAGAGAAGAGGAGGGAACCGAGCGATGAATTCACAAATTTTGATACACTTGTTTTGCTCTTCATCAGATGCTCGGGTTTGTCACAGAGGCTTTCAAAGAAGCTTCGAATCTGCAGAAACGAATCGAGCAGAGAAGAAGCGAACTCGACAAACACAAGTCTCAGCTCCTCCTGAGGTCGCTCAAGGAGCGGGGAATCAAGATTGAAAAAGAGACTTCTTCTGCCATCAAGCCAAGCAACATCGTCAAGCTCAACGTGGGAGGAACGAAGATAGACGTAAAGAGAAGCACCATCACTCGCTTCTCCTCCAAACTCAAGTGGATGCTGAGGTGAACTCGTCCTCTCCTCTCCTCCAGCTGAGCCTCTACTAGCGGTCGCTGGGATCACATCTACAAGCTCGACAATGAAGGACGGATTTTCCTCGACTATGATGCTGGCTGGTTCGACCCTATCATCAACCACCTGGTGTACCGATCCTCCTCCTCTACCCCATCATCCTCCTCCTCACCACCACCACTCCCCTTCCTCCCCCTCCCCATCCTCCTCCTCCTCATCATCATCATCAGCAGCAGCACCACCACCACCACCATCTGCATCCTTTCCTCCTGCCTTCCTGTTACTCGCGCTCACATAATGCGTAGCGGGAGCTCACAATGCAGGACCCGACCATCCCCATACGGCAGCCGAAAGCCAGTCATGGCGATCAGTTCGGATTCCGGCAGCTGCAGAAGCATCTTGGCTTGGAGAAGCTGTTCTCGAGTGAAGGCGAGGTGGAGGCGGGAGTGATGAAGCCTTGGATGCAGGCCGTCTTGGCAGGAACCATCGTGACGACATTGGAAGCAGACGGCAGAGACTGTGAGTTCCGCCTCCTCCATCGTGGAAGCCGCGATGGGTTCGAATGCTCGAAGGTGCAGAGCAAGAGCGCAGGTGTGGTCAACAGCATCACCATCGTACGTGACACGGAAGGGAACGTGTTTGGGGCCTTTGTGGACGTGGGGAGAAGCTTTCACGAGCAATACATTGAGTCCAGCAAGGCGTTTCTGTTCCACTTGTCCAGCAGAGGCTCACAAGACCCGAAGCTCTACAAGGTCTATCCCGTCAAGGCCGACCAGAAGCACACAGCGGTGCGAGGAGTCCGAGCTTGCTGTGCCGTGCTGGGAGCTGGGCCGGATCTGAGCATATCGAACGCATGCAACGCCAACAACGAGAGCTCTTGCCACCTGGGCACAACGTACGAGAACTATGGGAGCCCTCACGCTCTCACCAACGGTCGCGTCAACTTCCAGGTGGCTGAGCTGGAAGTCTGGCAAGTCAAGCTGGAGCTGGTCGGAGCCGAGGGTGTCAAAGACGCGAACCGCCGAGTGCCGACCAAGTCCGCCTCGCTCTTATCGGAGCTGACGCGAAGGGTCAAGGACATCGACAGCTGCGTGCAGGAGCTGCTGGGGGAGGGGGTGAGACTGCAGCAGGAGGAGGAGAACTTGATCGAGGACGGGAGAGATCTCGACGACGAGATGGAGTACATGGAGAAGATGGAAGAGAAGCACAAGGCACAGGAGATCATCTTCTTCAACGTCGGCGGGAGGAAGCATTACACCACCAAACAGACTCTGTCGCTCATCAAGGGTTCCAAGCTCTACATGCAGTACGCGAGTGGTCAAGTGCAGGTGCCAGAGACTGACTTGGATGACGACGGAGACATCTTCCTTGACATCAACCCCTACTGCTTCGGCAAGATCCTTTCCCAGCTGCGGCTTAGACGCCTGTACGAGGACCTGCCGGACAAGGAGCAGGACGAGATCAACATCGGCATCGTCGTGGACCCCCAGTACTTGGAGTCGTTCGATCGCATGTTGAACTTCTACCAGGTCGAGCAGTCCGACTTGGCCTGCTTCCGTTCCTCCATCTTGCCAGCTCGAGAGCGAGTAACCAGATTGCTCCAGCTGCTCCGACCCCACATGCAGGAGATCCCTTGCCGATACGCCTCCCTCCTCTTCCGCGGCAGCCGCGATGGTTTCACGAGGGGCCAGCTGCAGACCAAGTGGAACAATACGAGCAACAAGCTGCTGTTGGTCAAGGACTCCAACAACAACATCTTCGGGGGCTTCGTCGACTCGAAGAACAACAACGCTTCCTCTAGCAGAGCCTTCCTCTTCAGCCTCGAGCTCACTGCTGACATCCATCAAGACTCTCTCACTGTCTGCAGGCTGATCGGAGCCATTCCCGACGGCTGCGCCTTCAACTTTAACGTGGGCGGCTGCTTCGCCTTCGGTAGTAGGCCTGACCTGTTCCTGTCCGAGAACTGCAACCAGAACCAGCAGAGCTCCTGCAACCTCGGGCAGACGTTCAACGCTCACAACAACCCTCACCTCCTCACCAGTGGCTCTCTCAACTTCACCGTGATGGAGATGGAAGCCTGGGGCCTTCACTAGGAATGAGGCGGAAACAGCCCTAAGGTATTTGAGCTCTACTGGCGTCAGCCCTGCTCTTGTCTGATCCTTGAATGTGACGTCAGTCAGAGAGAGGGTCATGAACGTTGTCGTTGATAGATCATTCTGAATGCTCCTCTTGCTTGAATTTGATCCTCACAACCATGATCTCATGCCCCCTCCCTCCCCGAGCCATTTTGTCTCTTCCCCTTGTTTGAATTCTCCGCATTTGTAGTCATTCTTGACTCTATCAGCATGTCTTCAGCTATCGCTACTCTCTCCGACGTGAGCAAAACGACTCGACCCGGAAGGATGATGTCTCCTAGTCCGTCATCATCAAGTGAAATCGAGAGAGAGCCAAGGGAATGTCCCGCCCCCCTGACTCGAGTCTGTCTTACACGCCCTCCTTCTACTCTCACAAACAGCTTCCGGTAGGTCTTGTTGTACATACACGAGCCCTACCGCTACTTGTGCATGCTCGCCTCCTCCTACTGGCATAGAGTGTTGCGGAAGTTCACGTACTCCCTGTGCAGATGCTTCTTGATCCCATGCATCTCCTCCAGCAGCACCTGCCACCGCCTCCATCATCCTCCTTATCCTCTCCCGCCCCCCTCA